TCGATAAGAAAATGTTGGCAGTTTTCTCAAAAAATGCTTGAATTCAAGAAGTTTTAGATTTGCGTGGTTTTTTTTGAGTTGCAAAATCCACTTGACTATGACGCTGCTTTTTTCGAAGTTTCTCATGAACCATTCGAGCCAGAGAATTCGTTTTGGCATCGTTGGATAGAGACTTGAATGGGGGGGGTCATAACCCCCATGAGCCTCCCTGGGTCCTCCCTTGCTGAGTTTACTCTCAAGTTGAAGCTCACATGGAAAATGAATCATTTTACAGAATAACATCAGGAGGCGATACGGAAACAATCACCCTAACCAAGGACAAAGCCAGTCAAAGACCCATTTCGAAAAAGCACGTCACTGTGAGGGAAAAGGGCATTTTCGTGATCGCAGAAGCTCCAGATCTTGGCCTGGTAGTCCATTGGGATAAGGGTATTTGCTCCCATTTCCCTCTTTCCTCAGCCCTTAACCAGATGAGTGTTTCAGGAACAAGAGTCTACGTGAAAGTTGATCCGCGTTGGAAGGACAAGGTGAAGGGCCTGTGCGGAAACTACAACGATAACGAGGAGGACGACTTTCAAACCCCTTCTGGTGGGCTGGCGGAGGCCTCCGCCAAACTCTTCGGGGACTCTTGGAGGTGCGGTTTCAATCAAACATCCATATAAAGCATTAATGCGTCTTTGCGTAGATTGCAGAGCTACTGCCCTGAAGCGTTGGAGCTCAGCGACACTTGCGGCGACAATCCTGACCGAAAGGTCTGGGCTCTTAAAAAGTGCGGCATTCTGAAGAGTTCGCTGTTTGCCCCCTGCCATTCAGAGGTGCCGTTGGATAGTTACTTTGATAGGTACAAAGCACCAAACTATACAGGGTGCACCCCAGATAGCACAAAATATTACATACATATTTAGGAAATATTTATATGTTTGCTAAATATTTCAGATCAAAAGCAAATATTTCTTAAATATTTGTTTCCAATATTTAATTAGCATGAAACAAATAAGTTATTGATAATTTTCTTATTACATAATACTTTTTGTACCTATATATAACAACCTTAACACCCAAAAAGTTACTAATATATTATTTTTAATAAATGTGAACAAACTTTAGACCATGTTATCTGAATTTTCATTGATCAATGAATAGCAAATATTTCAGAGCAAAAGGAAATATTTTTTAAATATTATTTAAATGTTATTTAGAAAATATTTGTTTC